GTGTGAAGGACCGTGTTTGGTCATTGGATTGTGTCACTGTGCATAGGTGAGGTCTCATAATCAGCATTGCACATAGATGCACATAGCATTTACAATAAGTATTCGAGATGGGTGACAACAAGTAGAGTTATTGTATTTGTATTAGGCTGCCGTGCATAGGTGCGGCCCCATGATTGGCGTCGCACATAGCCACGGATCCAGCAGTTACGATAAGTAGTCGAGGTGAGTGACACCGGCTACTGTTATCATGGCAACAGCTTTATGCCGATGCCACCAATAGAGCATCATATTCATAATATGAACGATCCCTTCAGCTATCTCGTGATGCAGGACAGTTTTGCATCTCTGGGTAAGGGGATCATCAACAGAGATGCCCCTCACGTCGCCACCGCACAGTTCATGCTGTTGTCTAACAATGTTGTTCTTAGTAGAAGTTGAAATCCACGGGAAAATGTGTTGTGACCAGGTCTGACGAACAAAATCTCGGGACAGTAAGGCAAAAAACGTCAACAACCGGTCTTCTAGGGTGAACTCTGTATTAGATATTCTTTAGATGTTTTTTATTCCCAAAGAACAACGAAGAATGCCAAAATATGCTAAAGTGGGATTCCGTGTTTTATGTCGCGTGAACCGGTAAGAAAATGTGAATCGATGGTAGTCCGTGTCCCTGAAATTTCGCTCACCTAAAGAAATTGCTAAGAGCAACATGTCACCGGAAGGTGCAAATGGATTAGACTAACTTCGAAAACCCTATAGTTTAGGTGGAAATAATTTGGGTGTACAAATAGCCAGCAGCCTTATTTCACGACACAGCGAGTTCAAAGTCGAATGTGCGCGAAAAATTCTGAAAGGTTACATAAAACAAATCACAAAAATGGCGGCAGATTAGGGTCATTTTTGGCCTGAGTACATATGGTACAAAATTCAACATTTAGGCGTAAAGTGTTTTAATTCACTCTTGAATATTTTGCAGAAAAAAGCATTGTTCTCCCAAGGCACGGTGGGTCAGTAAGTGCGCACATGTCGTTGGTCGAATTGCAGCGCTCTGTTCAAGTACGTAGGAAATTCAGATTATGTGGTATGCGGTGTCTGGCAGTTTAATTCATTTATATGTAAGTATTAGCGATATACAGGCTTTCTTACTTGGCTCTGGTTCCTGATCTCTTGTTATGTTTTCCATCCGCAGAAATTGTTGTGCATTACTTTCGGTTAAACACTCCGCTGGCGGTTTCATAGCATGCATTCCACACTTGCCGGGACATAGATGGGACTTCTCCGCGTGTGTACTGTAACGTCACAGTTAGCACGCGTTCGTGCCCGGGTGCACAAAGCGTTTTGATGGGGAAGTGGGTTCCCACAGGGTCCCATTCAAATGATCGACTTGTTTGTTACTCATCGGGTTATATACAGCCGTGTTGCTTGTACATTTACAATTCACCTGACCTAAGCAGAGGACCACAATATTCGTGGATTTAGGCTGGCATTCCAAAAATGGAAGATGGTTGACAAACAATGGGCAGCAATTTGCAACATCGTATTTTCGCAAGCGAAAACTATTGTGAATCTGGAAGGGCGATAGGAAGACGGGGACTCCATTTCGTATTGCAGTTGTTCAGCAGAGCACCATAACGACCACGTGACAGTGCGTCAGCCGATGTTTGGCTGGGTAATTCTAGGGTGCTACTACAAGCTTAATGGGGTTGAACCAAAACATACTTGCAAGCCAGCCGGTCGATATAGTGGGCAAATTTGTTAACCTGGGCAGTTTTATAAGTTTCGGTGGACTGGCTGGAGATAAGATCCGTTCTACAGTCAGGAAGGCCAGACAGCTTTTACCAGCCTACACGTGACTTGTCTCTCACGTTGTCTCTCATAGGCAGGGTTTACACAGTGCTGTATGGGTCCGAAACGTGTTTGTATAGGACGTAAGAAAGTTGTTAGTGTCGGGTTGGCATTTTAACTAACCTAAATAATTAACTGCAGTGCTTTATATGCACTCCACCTCCGAAAAGTGTAAAGTGCTGCTAAAGGATTGGGTGAAGTCAAACGTGAATGTCATGCTTGAGGAGCAGCCAAACGATGTGTCAGATAAGTTGGTTTGCTCGGGTAGGTGGAAGATTTACGGTGCAATGAGTGAAGGTGAGACCGACTCTCGAACTGGGAAGGTTAGGGTAGCTTCCGCCAAACTCGGATACCTACGGCACCAGTATGGTGTCAGTTTACCTAAGTTAGAAGAACTGCGGTAGTGCAACCCATGTTCACACTCCTCAGCCAGAGGACCGAGGTTTAGCTGTGTAGTTTAAGAGCTACGCCCGTACGCGTTGCAGGCGCTCACGACCAGACGACGCTCATGGTGCAACCACATGCGTCCGTAACATGTGGCTCAACCTAAAGCCGCTACCTTCAAGTGGTAGTCGGGTTTGAGTGCCGCCCGCGGGCTAAACCAGCGGGAGCTTCGTTCTGCAAGGTCCGACCATGCCACGAAGGCCAAAGGGAGTGATCAGATCAAGAGTAGCGACATCCCATACATCATGCATGGAAGCGGTCTGGGTATAAAGTCGTACTCTCCTCTGCGACAGGAACGTTAAGGCTGTGAGGTGTTTCCCCCCTAGAATATTCATATTTATGGCAAAAAAATGTTACCTCTGCGTTCACTGGCGATGACCTTGTCGAAGCCGGTGCACGTGATTGATCCTCTGGTTTTTGTGGTTGTCNCGATCAGTAGTATCACCGTTACACCTGTACTGTGGTTCCGATTTGTCGGTTGTCGAGGGCACAACTTGTGGATGCGCTCTAAAATTCCATTGTTGGTATGTACTAAGTCCAAAATGGTTGTGCTGGACTGCCAGTGGAAACTTTAAGTTGCTTGACCCAGCTACCGATACCTAGCAGCCGACCGCCCCCTTACGTCACGCTAGAGCTGCGCCATCTGAGAAAGACGGATGTAAACTTGGTCCCTTTGATCTTATGTGCACCCGGAGGTTTAGTGATCTGCTGTGTTCGCCTTTGGTACGGGTCCTGAAGAGCCACTGATGCTACATGAATGCATCGCCTAACGCCACGTTCCAATGACTGACAGGTTGAAGATCAACTGGACGCGGTTTGTCTAATTTTACCCAGAAGTGCGTGTTGATTTTTATTGGCCACCGCTGATTCTTTTTGCGAATCTTTTCTTATCTATTCGCGACAATTCAATTTTTTCCCTTAAAGCACTGAATTATCCAGAAAAGTGAGAGGAACCTGCTAGTACTCATAATCTAGCTACAAGCATATTAGCTTTGCTGAAATACAGCTTTCTGTTGCTAATTTAATTGTCAGTAGGCTAGAAGCTAAGCATGTGCAACACTTAGTGCAATTTATCGGGTGAGGTTGGAAAACCGGCCGCGACGTTTCTGGTGCACTCACAGAGTGAGCTACAAAATCTTGTCCACAGCTAATGACATTTCTATTGCCAAATCTTTCCGACATACAAACAACCTATTCATTCCTGCTACATCCCAGAGCATAATGTGCGATAAGTAATAAATCTGTGAAGCACTGTTGCTGTCCGAAATTCTCTTCTAGTAATGCACTCAGCACAGTCATATCCATGGCATTTCTCCAAGCAACAACAGTCTAGCCTCCTACTGCGCAACAGTTGCAACGTATTTCTTCGGGTATCCAGACCGCTGTGAAACTGAACCATAGATAGCTTACTTTTACTTGTGAATTCGATACGACAGCCAAAACCATTGTGTCCTCGTCCCTAACTGTCAGGCTCTGACGCACAATCCGAACCCGTCGGGTAACTTGATTGGCACACTCCGCTATAATCCACAGCGAACAGAGTCTAGTCAGTACAATTGGCGAATTAGTGAAAGCGATCAAGAGACTGTAAACTGACAGCAATCGATCCCCCTACAGCCAACTGACAAGTCAGCGCACTACCGGGAAAATATAGTTGGTTCGATCAGGTAGACTGCAGACGAGAGACGCGAGCGTCATGTGTGTCTGTGTGTGTCGCTCTAATATTTCTCATTTTGGTTGAATTAGAGTCACAGGATTGCGTACGCGTGCAAATCACCCAACTGGTTCCCGTGGTGACACTAGTGTATGAACTGTGTGTGTGCGTGCGCGATAGGGAAATATGTGACGTAAACGGTCTATCTGAAGAATTTTTCACAGACAGGTGGTATGTGGTTTGCTCAAACTGACAAATCCAGTTATGCGGGTCAACCTCATTTTCCTGAATATTATGACCTCGACTTCTAAATTTGTGACCGTTTAGGGGAGGGCTTTGCCAACCAACAACTTTTGCGCACCCCCTTCTACTGACCATGCAAGTGTCTTGGTTTTACATTAGAAGTACTGATTCACAATCATGATCCTAATAGTCCCGTAACCGAATAAGTTGCAACAGTCCGAATGGTTACCTTTGGTTAACGGGTATTCGGTTTTGACAAATGCCAGGGGACTCGCCGGGAGACTCACCTTGACCCCAACTGGATCTCTCATTCATAATGTTCTTAAGAACATGCAACATGAGGAATACTGCGTGCCAATTAGGTGCAGTGTCAACAATCGAGGACTAGCTCATTCCATTCAGTTGGTTGTTAAGATCAGCATGGTCATGTGATACGGATGACCGAGACGGCTTCATTTGAATTTTTCGGTGCCTTTTGACACCGGAAGCAATAGTTGGCCCACTCCTGGATTTCCCTTGAACCATGACGTCCTGTAATAATTTGTACCACACTGCAACGACTCGCGGAAATTCACTAATTTTGTTGTTTCAATTGTTGGATTTTCAGATTTGGCTAAATTCTGCCAGTTAAGCTGTCTGACCGCATTACATGCACCCTAGTTCCTTTGGTCGAATAAGAAATACGAGGACACGGCTAGAACTGTCGAGGCTTAGACGGTGTATGTGGGCTCTATTAGTACCTAAAATGTCCACCTCATTGGTCTTGGTCTTTAATACGGCCTCTAGCACCACCAATAATTCCCTCGTCTGTTTCAGAATACATTCTCTCAGACGCATACCAACGCATCGCGGCACCTCCTGCAGCAAGGATCAAGCGCCATCCTCTACTGATGAAGCGCTTTTGGTCGGCGACTGCTCATCAAATGATGCTGACACCCGGACCACTGTGGCGCCTTTTTCATCTGACTGTGATAAGCAACCTAGGAAACTTTCAGCCCGTACTCAGGTAGTGAAGATCGATGGTGGTCGTGCCAAACTGAAACAAAAATTTTCAGGCAATGAAGCGAACGAGCTGGGCGCTGCCAGCCGACCACAACCCTCGAGACGGCAATCTTCTCCGTGGAACTCGTGAGTTTTCGCACTGTTTGTTACTCGTGAGTAGTTTAAAATAAGCGCATAATTAGCTCGCATGCGCAGCCTGTTCACAGAAGGCGCTCTCTAGTCCGGTGGTTCTTAGCAGGTGAATTCCTCTCGAAGCCGGGGAAGAACCATGTTCTGAGCTGACAGTCTATTGGCAAAAGATATCGTTGGTCTGGTTTACCCGACACTTAAGTAATTTAGAGCGTACTCTTTCCGTTTTTGTCGCTGCCCAGTAATGACCTAGTTTTGTGTTTGTGATGTCAGGTGTACAGTAATGATGTTTGTATCGATACTGCAGGAAATGGCTCATTCTTTTGATTCAGATGAACTGGCAGTGCATTATTGAAAAATTCATTCTAATCTATAAGGACCAAAATGAACTTTCAGGCCTAAACACGTATGCGGGCCCTCCGAAGAATAAACGTTTAAAGTTACACTCATCCTACCACAGCTCAATGCAGAATATGTCCCCGATACCAAGTTGAGCATTCATATGTTGAACCAGGAATAGCTGAATTAAGGGCATCCAGTATTGTTGGAGGACTACTGTAGCATTTCATTTTTTTGGCCCAGTGCGGAAAAACTTAAGGATGTAATGTTCAAAGAGTTCTTTCTTCAACCTATCATGCAGATCGAGTCAACCATGGCACACAGTGTCAGCTTGTCCATTCGACCGGTGTTTTTTATGTCAGGACTCCGTTCCTTATTTCTTTGCTTTTGCTCGTGCTATCAGGTGTACTTATTCTGTACGGTTTCAAGGCCAGTCTCATTCATGTTGGTGCAAGCAAGTCCGCCTTCGTCATTCTATCAACAACTTGTCCCATGTAATTGCCATGTTTACGAGGTTGTCACAAGGGAAAGTCAAGTTTCATTTGCCTCTTCTTCTGAGGTGTACATTTGTTGATCGAGATGACGTAGGGGATTATAGGCGGTGGACCGGATTCGGCAATGATGTTTAGGGAACTCAGAGCTCGAAATAGCTCAGGCGCGAAGTTACCGACAAGAAGGTTCATGATTCGAATCCCACCTCAAACTCGACTGCTCCTATCTAGGCTTTGGCAAACTGGAAGCATCTTCGCCATCGTGCTTCCTTCGGGTAGCGTGACAGCTAGGCACCGAAAGAGTCTTACAATTGAAGGATTATTTATTATACTATTTAGGCACTGGACATACCTAACCGTAATTTAGGTGGAACGTCATCGCCACCGTTATTCCCTGAGTAAGACGTGTAGTGTTTGATAGGATGACCCTAACCTTTTTATCTGTTCCTCCTCGTACCAGCCAACTTTTTGCAACTTATCCGCTTTCTCGAGTAACTTGGGTTTTTGATGGTAGAATCCCTGGTCGAATATGAGTATCAATATCTATGGTATGATCAATACCGCTTTGCATCCGTCCGTAACTAGGACGAATGGAGGCCGAAAGATATGATTTCTGTCAACTGCTTTAACTATATCAACAATATTGAAGTCAAAAATACAATATACGAGCGGACACATCTTTTATGCAATCAGTGAAATCGGATGTTTAGCAAGCATGCTAGTTGACCTGTTCAAAACGCCTTAGTTTAATATAACCGTAGCCTCGGTACTGAAGTTGGTCTGGGTGCCAAAGAATTCGCCAGGAGACAGCTGCCTTGTTGTGCAGCAGGGTTTTCAGTTGTATCGAGTGGCCTGCTCATCCACTGCACCAAAAAGGATGCTTTTTTTATAACGGCGATCAGCCTTTGACCTCTCAAGGTTGTGTGGTGCCGGTGACGAAAAGGTTTGGCTTTGTCGATCCGACTTACCTTGCAGGAACAGTTCACGTAATCCTCATTTTGCTTGGCTGCAGACATCACAATGTATATTTTTTAGCCGATGCAAACTATGTTCCGGTTGTACGTCCGTATCCAGCATATTGAGGAAACGGTCATGGGACGTTGACACTTCACGCTAGTTACTGCGGATCCTGACCGTACTCTTAATCAACACAACCAATCCCAATAAAGCCTGAGATATCAGTACGTGAGGCTTTTTAGCAACAAATCACAGTTGACAACTGAAAGCTGAATAAAGGCTTCAGAAAGGCTTAATGAATAGTTGGTGGATTTATTACCATAACAATGAGTTTCCGATTGGTTCCAATCTTTTCGCAGCTCATTCATTCGAGGTTTACTTATTATCGTATTCTCTGTGTGGTGCTACTATGCTTTATATTTGCTGTTTATCACAAGTTATCCCCGATTGGGTGGCCACCTGGGCACTTGTTCGTAACAACTTCAATGTTACTTTCCAGTGCCTGATGCCCTTGTCTACTTGTGATTTGTACTCAGCATGCACTTGTCTTATTTCGCACCTATGTCGGCACTGGGGACAATATTGAATCAACCGTCACTTCGGATCTCGGCTGTTGACAAGCTATGCTCAAACACTGATGAGCAGTATGTAGTTGGTCACTCCCTACTAGTGTGTACTATGATGACGAATGTTGTGGAGCATTCAGACTCGCAACGTTCCAGATCAGCCATCTAGTTTTCATGTACGTGTGGCGTATATGGAGCCTATCTGTTAGTTATTTTTAGTGATTAAGTGTATGCTAAATCAGACTGCCGATAAATCACTCCATACTCGGACATCGTATCCTGTCAGGATTCTTCAGGAGCACACTGCTGCTAAGCACTATCCCAATGGTTCACTTTATTTCACTTTACAAAATTAAAGCGTCAAAATATCATCGAATGCAAACTGTCGATTATTGCGGTCTCCAGATACCTTGAGTTAATGAATTATCCGTTAATTTCCTTCCTTAACTAATCTCAGGGCGATCTGTGCCATGGACGATGTTGACACTCAGAACTGGATTCCGCAAAGTCACAATCGCCGGACCCGACATGGTAACCAGCAATTGCGCATTAATGATAAACGGGGCAGCAGGTCCCAGGACGCGACGGCTAAACAGTCTTCTCAGCACCATTGTCCCAACGGAACGAATGGGTCTCCGCGATCACCACTGCATGTCGTTACTGTCGCTGATTCGCTGCTAACCCGAGTCGCTCCAGTGACTTCCCAAGGTGGTTGTCTTCCTAACGATGCATCTATCCACTCAGGTTATCCGCAGTCTCAACCGGCTCCACACAACGTCATGTCTACCTCTACATTTTCCACAGAAACTCCTACCCCAACCGCTACCCCGACGCCTACCCCCACCCAGAACCATCAATCTGCAACCGAACACGTCACCACCCCTTATGCACCTGTCGCTGTAACGGGAGATGATGTGGAATTTTTGAAGCATGCCCCATGGTACCAAGCTATGGTGCCACGAGAGATCGCTTTCGAACTATTGGCACGCGAAGAGGTGTGTTTTCTTCTTGTACAACCCTTTCCCGCGTCGATCTTATATTAATCTAATTAATCGTATTTTTTCTCACCCAGGCTGGAAGTTTTCTAGTCAGGAATAGTGTTTCACATCCCGACTGCTGTGCGTTATCTGTCCGAGTGCCTTTCGAGGAAAACCCTTCAGGAATCACGCATTATCTAATTCAACGGACGTTAAATGGAGTCAAGCTCAAAGTAAGTTTTCTTCGTTGAACTCGGTTAAGCCTTAGATGGAGTTTCCCATGTGCTATAACAAAAACCATAGAAGAAACCTATGTGATGGTGAAGTTCAATGCCTTATTTCTTTTTGAGGGTTTTGGAAGAAACTTAGTTTAATGAAATCATTTATGCCACGGTTGGGGACTGAACTGTCTCTTTCACCGATAGCACCCAGAACTTACAGTTAACTGTAGAGTAACTAGTCAGTTGTTCAGTACATCATAGTAAGGAAGTAGCAAACAACAACCCAGGACAGGTAGATGAAACTGCTCAGCTGCAACGTGCCTTTGGTGCTCAAATTCCGTTCATCTTTAAGGAGCCACCGGATTGAAGGGCCTAGACGGAATCCCAAATGGTCTAACCACACAATGAGCCGACAGACTTAACTTGTGTTTAATTGGTGGAATTATTTCGTGTCATCTGTCGGCGCCATGTCCAGGGAACTTTTGAATTTCCAGAGATTTGCCGGCACGCTTGTATAGTATACTTGTATTGACCTGTTTTGTGCCTTTTATTGGCTATTTTACTGGAATTGTTAGCTTTGGTGACCAAAACGATAACCGTAAACGATGACCGCAAAATTCCATGGAAGTGTGGCGTCTCGGTTGATGACTTTCTTGGTTCACTCTACTTGACACCATCGTTCACACATTCACTTTATGTAGCCTTGTATATTCTCGATGGAAATGTTCTGGACGACAGCAACCGCCACAATATCTCTCCATCTGGATATTTATCTGTTTTTCATCGCTATCATTAAAAGTTTTTCATCTTTTCTACGAAGGGGCTGGACAAAGAATGGCCATCTCTTCGAGCACTGATCACCCACCTGACTGTAATACCTGAGATGTTGCCTTGTCCCCTGCGATTACCGGCTCACAACTTCAATCCGGTCTTCACAAACGCTGACGAACATCTCAACATCAGTCGAATGGATCGCAATGCGTGCCCAATCAACACCCAGTATTTGCAGGATAGACAGATCACGCGACGTGACCAGCGTGGATCTACGATAGAACCGTTCCAGTCAGCCGCCTCCTTGCCGTCCCGTCCTGTTCCACCGTCCTGTGCTTCACGTTCCTACCTTTCAACCTCTTCGTCTTCTGCAGCACCCATTCAAAACAACCAACTACCCCGCCAGTCTTCCGAAATCAATGGTCACAGCGCTCCCTACACGAATACCGGATCTCGCAATGTATCCGCTGATGTCTTACGTGAGAGAAATTTCAGCTTGCCCGGCTATCAAGCCATCCACCGAGTGGCTCATGTGGATGCTGAAGGGC